CATGCTTGAACCAAGTCACTTTTCTTTTTTTTTTTTCTTTTTTTATAGTTGGGGATTCATTGAGGGTACAAGAAACCAGGTTACACTGATTGCATTTGTTAGGTAAAGTCCTTCTTAAACAAGTCACTTTTCTAATTCACATCATTCAGTGGTTCCTCACCTCTCATTGCAGTTTCTACTTTTCTTCGCATTCAAGGCTCCTCACAGCCCACTGCCTGTCCTTATCTCCCATCAATACATATCTGAAACATTCACCTTCAACCAAATCTCAACAAAGAGTTCTTTCCCATGTCCTGTACCTGTGCCTGGATTTCACTCTTCTACTTAGCTGCCTAGCAAAAACCCTTCTCAGCTTATAGGACCAACTGAAGCATCTCCTGTTTTTAGTTTTCCTGGAAGATCCCAGATAGATCTGGTTAGTTTCTCCTTCATACCATCATGATACTACATATAAACCTCTATTAAAGCACTTAGCACACCTCCCTAGTACCTGGCATTTGCCCTAATAGGCGACAGTAAAACGTGGTTAAAGAAGCCTTCTCGGCTCGGCACCTGTGGCTCAAGAGGCTGAGGCTAAGGCACCAGCCACATACACCCGACCTGGCAGGTTCAAATCCAGCCCGGGCTCACCAAACAACAATGATGGCTGCAACCAAAAATAGCTGGGTGTTGTGGCGGGCACCTGTGGGCCCAGCTACTTGGGAGGCTGAGGAGGAGACTTGCTTGGGCACAGGAGCTGGAGGTTGCTGTGAGCTGTGATGCTATGGCACTCTACCCAGGGGGACAGCTTGAGGCTCTGTCTCAAAAAAAGAAAAAAAAAAAGAAGCCTTCTCAACCTTTCTCACAGCATATCAATGTTGCCTCCAAACTTATCCAAAGCGTAAGTTTCCTGTAATCAGTTGCATAGCAACCAGCATGACCCGCTATGCTCTCAGAACACATACTTAACATTCCATTCTTTGTACTGCTTTGGTAGCTTAAGGTCATGGTGTGGCATGAAAGCAAGGTCATATACCAGAAGTAAATGTGATTTCTCAGCAACCCCATGAAACTGGACAGAGATGGAGAGAAGCCTATCTTGCTAGATGCAGAAAGCAGCATGTGAACCTGGAACTCTCAGGTGTCCGAGAAAGCCAAGTAGAGATATGAATATGAAGTACCTGAAACTGTCACCCAGAAGCTTCTAAAAGGATAAAGAAGATGTTGCACAATTCGGGGTAAAACGGCATGTGCTGGCAGAGCATGGGGACTCATGCCTGTAATCCTAGCACTCTGAGAGGCCAAGGGAGGTGGATTGCCTGAGCAAAGTGAGACATCCTCTCTATGAAAAATAGAAAAACTAGTTAGGCATTGCGATGGATTACAGCCTTCAAAATATTTAAAATGGGGCGCGCCTGTGGCTCAGTGGGTAGGGCACTGGCCCCATATACTGAGGGTGGCGGGTTTGAACCTGGCCCTGGCTAAACTGCAACAAAAAATTGCCAGGTGTTGTGGTAGACGTCTATAGTCCCAGCTATGCGGGAGGCTGAGGCAAGAGTCACCTAATCCCAGGAGTTGGAGGTTGCTGCGAGCTGTGACGCCATAGCACTCTACTGAGGGTGATAAAGTGAGGCTCTGTCTCAAAAAAAAAAAAATTAAAAATGAAGATGTATAATAATAAATTACCATATGACTCCAGATGAACTGGGGAGGTCAGTGGAGATAGGACTTGTGGGAGCTTCCCAGAGACTCACAAACAGTCTGTTCCGTTTTAATCCATTTTGTGCTGCTATAACAAAACACCACAGACCAGGTAATTTATAAAGAAATGTACTTCTCCCAGTTTTGGAGAGTGAGAAGTCATTTCCTTCTGCTTTGCAGCACCGTTTGGTTTCTTTCTAGCATTTATCTTATTCTTGTATGTATCAACTATATGTATGATAGTATCCAACTATCATAGAGGTCTGTGAAGAGACAGGCTCTTACTCATCTTCATTAGGCTGTGGTAGGATCTGGTCAGACCTGCCAAGCTCAGTCCTGTTGGGTCTTGAACAGACTAGTTGTCAATGCACAATTGCAGGTAAGTACGTAATACCCACTCATCCTTCTGTAACTTACAATGAAGCAAGATGGTGATGGTGCTGCTGCTTTCGTAAGATGTCATACTTTGAACCTTGCCATTCCTGGACCCAGACACAGAGCTTGTGAAATAAACTTTTGCAAGTACAGAGATGGTGAGGGTGTTGTTTTAGGATGACTTACAACGTGATTGTAAGAAGCTGGGCAAGCCCCCATGCAAAACTTTGTGGGAGCTAGCAGGACCTCACCTTGAAGAGGAAGAATACATCTCCAACCAAATATCTCCTGGCCCTAGCAAAAAGTACAAGCCCCAGTACCTTTTGCTAAAAATATATCCTTTGCACTTATCACAATAAACTGTTATTTCTCAACCTCTTTAAGATTTGTGTCACAGCATTCATTTTGCCAGACCTCCAACCCACTCCTCTTAAATCTCTTAGGGTGGACTCAAACATGTCTAAAAGTTAAAGTATTTTTTTCCCAAATAGGACAGCCTTCTAATGTCCTCAAAATTACTAATATCTTGAGGCCACCCCCCTCCCTTTCCTGGAACTGGGGATTGGGAGTGACCCTACATCCTCCCTTGCAAACAACTCCAGACTGGAGAGCAGTGTCTGCTCGGGGTGGGTCCCTTGACATCGTTTGCTAATCCAGCTGCTTCTGAGGCTGCTCTTTATTCGGAGGTGACTTTGCTGTCGCGTCCCTGCAGGTGCACTAACCCCCAGGCTTTACCGAGATATGTTCTGGGGATAAAATTCTGTTTATTTTACTACTTAATAATATAAAACATTTATTTTTGACCAGACCTGCAGCTTCTATTAGCAATGTCTCCTTTGCCTAATATGCAAATACTGGCTTTGTTTGCTCAATTTTGTGAGTGCTTTTGAATTTAGATGATTGTATAAGTGAAGAAGATGACTTTTCTTATATTGTTCAAGCTGTGCCTGCAAACTTGTTATTTAATAAATATGTGAGGTTCTCAGTGAAGCTAAAAAAAAAAAAAATTACTAATATCTTGTATAGAATCATTTTCCGTGAGTTGTTCCTGTTTCATTCCCTCTACTGAGGAAAAACCACAAGACAATGCAAGGCATTTGCTGCATTCATTAATTTATTACCGGACTTCAATTCCCTCTGAAAAAAATTTAGCAACAAGGGGGCAGCACCTATGGCTCAGGGGTAGGGGCAGGTTCGAACCCGGCCCTGGCCAAATTGCAACAAAAAAATAGCCAGGTGTTGTGGTAGGCGCCTGTAGTCCCAGCTACTCAGGAAGCTAGGGCAAGAGAATCTCCTAAGCCCAAGAGTTGGAGGTTGCTTTGAGCTGTGATGCCACAGCACTCTATTGAGGGCGACTCTGTCTCAAAAAAAAAAATAAAATAAAATAAGAAAGAAAAAGAAAAAGAAAAATTAGCAACAGGTCAAACTGCCTGAGTTTAAGCAAGATTTCAACTTTTACTGCTTCAGCAAAGCTTGAGTTCAGAGACCAGATCCCAATCCCAAGGAGTATGAAGAGTGGCCCAGCCTCACTTCTTTTTACACATGTAAACATCACCTTAAAGGGACCTAATGTCATCCTTAGAGGAATTAGATGTATATACTCATGCCAAAACAGTCAAGAACATATGTATTCCTTCTCAAGGTCTTTATCAAAGGAATAAAAAGTGGCTCAAGAAACAATCCTATCTGTCCACGAGAATAGCATAATATCAAGTATTTGGCACTAAAATAAAATACTCAGCAGACATTGTCTAAAGCTCATATAGACAAGATTAGCTTGAATATTTAGTTTTATTTATTTATTTATTTATTTTTGCAGTTTTGGCCAGGGCTGGGTTTGAACCCACCACCTCCAGCATATGGGGCCAGCGCCCTACTGCTTTGAGCCACAGGCACTGCCCAAGCTTGAATTTTTAATTCAAAAAACTTAAATATGGTGGATATATCTGCTCAGTTTATACAATGGATTCTCCATTGTAACTAAAGAGCCAAGGAGACCGCTCTGTTCAAAATCTCTTTTATATAGCATTCTTTTTTCTAATTATAAAAAGCATTACCTGCTTGCTATAGGAAAATCCAGAAAATGGCAAAAAGTGGAGAAGAAAATAAAAATTCTGCATTTGCTTTAGTCTTATCACCTTCCCTGGTATTTTTTACCTGTTCCTAAGTTTCTGATCACTTGCTTGTTCCTTGGCATTCCTGGTGATTACCTCCATAAAAGGGATAGATTCATTCTATAGTTAGGCTGCCAGCCTTTTTGAAAGATAAGGCAGACAACTGATGCTCTGGGGGTACAGTTTTTTGCTCTACATAATTTCCCTGAGCCATGCATTTTATAGTACTAATAGCCCAGCCAGTATACTTGAAGCACAGCCTTATTTATTTGCCGGATTATAATAACCTAGACATGGGTTACAATAGAACACAAGTCAAGTATAACTTTTCGAACTCTGGGGTTTCAATAGTATGGCCAAGGTTTTGAGCATAATTTTTTTTTTTTTTTTTTTTTTTTTGAGACAGAGCCTTAAGCTCTCCCCCTGGGTAGAGAGTGCCATGATATCACAGCTCACAGCAACCTCCAACTCCTGGGCTCAAGCAAGTCTCCTGCCTCAGCCTCCCAAGTAGCTGGGACCACAGGCGCCCACCACATAGCCCGGCTATTTTTTTTTTTTGGTTGCAGCCATCATTGTTGTTTGGCAGGCCCAGGCTGGGTTCAAACCCACCACCTTAGGTGTATGTGGCTGGCGCCTTAGTCACTTGAGCATAACTTTTGCTGCTGCTTCTATCTTTCCAACTAGAAAGGAACTCCATAGAAAAGGAAGATCTTCTATGTGCTCTCATTCCATAGCACCAGCAGATGCTCAGTAAATGCTGAAGGAATTAATTTTTTTCATTCAACTCTGAATCAAGTTTCAGTCATCATTTCAGGCAGTTTGTTCACTTACCAGATAGTTAATAAGCAAGAAATTGCTTATTGTTTGTTGTCCATGCCTACTCTGTAAAACAAAGCTGCAAGTAAAAACAAAAATAAAAAGCCAGTTATATAAGGCAAAAGGAAGATCCAAAGGAAAGTCAAGGAAAAAAAATGTAAGACTCTCACAAGTTGGCTGGGTGCTAGAGTAGACAAGGAAGCTTTTGGTTCCCATTTGTAAAGTCAGATGATCCAACGAAGTCATTACTCTGGGACAAACATTTTAAACCTTGGAGCAAGTAGCTACAAGAGGACTTTTCAATGACTTTGAAAAACTGAGGTATATGTGATATGGACTAATTGAAGAGTTAGTTCACTGCAGAAGACACAAATCATCTTGAATATGCAAAGAAAAGTGGTATCATATTGGTGGATCTTAGTTCCATTATAATAAGTACTGAGTTACCAAAGATGACAACTCAGTATATAGCAAAGAAGCTATTTGTTTATTTTACTCAAAAACATAAATGGGCTAATAAAGACAAAATGGGGCACCTGTATTTCAGTGGTTAGAGCGCCAGCCCTGTGTACCAGGGGTGGTGGATTCAAACCCAGCCTGGGTCTGTTTAACAAAAAAAGAAAAAAAGGCAAATGGTTAGAAGTGGAGATCATCAAAGGAATGACTGTAAACACAAAGCTGGGAGAGGAGGCATCATCTTATCATACCAGCTACTCAGGAGACTGCGGTGGGAGGATAGCTTAAGCCCAGGAATTTGAGACCAGCCTAGGCAAGAGAGTAAGAACCCTGCCTTAAAACAAACAAACAAACAAAACACTGGGCTTCCTTCTCCGTGGACCTTGTCTAGACTGCCTTGACTCCAAGTTTGCTGGGTCTCCAGGAATGAAGTTTCGATCATTCCTGTGTCCTCAGGAACCAGAACTCAGAGCTCAATAAATGTTGGAAGGATTATACTGAATGGAAGGCAAGAAGGCATTTGAGTCCACAAACTCGAGTTTAATTAGCCCTTGGGACTCTAACAAGGAAGAAATAACCAGACTTAAAGGGCGCCCCCATCTCCAAAGGGAGTCCATTCCACGGCTGAGCCACAAGCCTCAGAGTTGAGAGTCCCCAAAAGATTCCAGGAAGAAGCCAAGGGTCGAAAACGAAGAGACTCAGTCCTTTTCTGCGGGGCTAAGAATATAGCGCCCCGACGTCCCCAGAGCCCAGACGACACCAACCCAGGGGTGGGGAGCGGGAGAAAGGAGACAGGCAAAGTTCTCGGTGTACTCACACCCTGGCCGCCGCCGGCTTTTCCTCAGCCCCACAGGTTCAGACCTGCTGCTGCGGAAAACTGGAAGTGGAAATACTTCCGACGGGATGAGGAACTGGGGGACAGCCTCACTTGCATGAAAACCTGCCTTCTGCGGCCAGCGTCCGGGAACCTCTGACTGCAGAGGCCCTTCGCGCCTCCTCCACGCTGTCCACCGTATGACAGCGCCGCCCACGACATCCTCCCAGTGCGGCATTAACTCACATATGGCTAAGCGCGTGTCTCTACAGGTGACAAAATCCCCTTGTGTGACCAAAGGGCACCCGCAGCGCTGAAAGAAGGTAACGTGTGCGCGCCGCCGCGACGCCCAGCCACCTACTGGGAGCGGCAGTAAGACCCCGGGGATCCCTGGGGCCAGACTGCTTCTCCTGCGGCGTCCTAGAGGCTCCTAGACAGGCTGGTAAACAACTGCCCACGACTTCCCTTACTCCTACTCCCAGTCGCGCTAGAGTCCAGGGGAAAGCACCTGGCGCCCCCGGGAGACCTGAAGGTGGATTCACCTTGGAAATAGGTTTAAGGGAGCTAGTAACACAAAGTTAAAGAATGTGCAGTTGTCAGTTACAAATAAATGTAAAACATGAAGTCGCTAGGAAAAGCCATTTTAACTAGGACATTCGACCCAAAATCTGTAAGGAAAACAATTTAAAAAAAAAAAAAAGAAAAATTCTGTACAGCAAGCAAAGTTCCCTTTCAACCTTTTTTTTCCTCAAGCTTTTTGTTTTGTTTTGAGACAAGAGTCTCATTCTGTTGCCGCAGGCTAGAGTGCCATGGTGTCAGCCCAGCTCACAGCAAACTCAATTAACTCCTGGGCCCCCAGTGAGCTTGAGGCAGCCTACTGAGTAGAAACGCCACAACGCTTGGCTAATTCTTCTATTTTCAGTTGAGACATGTCTTGCTCTTGGCTCAGGCTAGTGTCCAATTCGTGAGCTCAAGAGATCCACCCACCTCAGCCTCCCAGAGTGCTAGGATTACAGGCGTGGGCCACCTGGCCCACATGATCCAAGTTCTTTGTTCAATGAAACTCTTTTGTAAGATTATCCAGAGAAACCACTCAAAGGAAGATACCTAAAGTTCCGATGCTCTTATCCGAACTCTTTCTTCTAAAGCAGGCCAGCGCCAGGTTTTAGTTCTAGATTATCAGTTTGTACAAGTCCACATTCTTTACATATTCTATCCCCCAGTGGCTTCACCCTTTGTTGCCTCAGAACAAATTTCACAAGATAGCCAATCAAAATCTTTAAAAGAGCTTGGTCGCCCTCTAACTTACTTCCTGCTCCCTGGGGCCAAAACTTCCCCTCAGTTTCAACTGGCCTTTGTTCTACTGCATTCCACTGTTAATAGTACTAAAAGCATCAGCCCTTCCTTCCAAATCAGGAAGGTTACACTCCAGCAAGAACAGTCCACTGTCTTTCTCAAGGAAAGGCAAAGAAAGCAGATTCGTTTCAAGGTTTAAAAAACTTAGTCAAGCATTTCCAGCTTTTCCAAGGTGGGCTATCCTTGAGTTAGGTAGTGCAAATTCCCCCTCTCCTAGGGAAAAAAGACAAAAGGGGTGCTCTGCCTTGGGGTTGCCTGGAGCAATTGCCCCACCAGAAAGGAAAGACCTGGGCGAGCTCCATCTTCGTGGGGCCTTGCAGGAATCCTATCCTCCTCAACAAGCTGCCGCCTGGGGGGAAGGAGGAAGCCTCCAGGCCAGGCAGCCAGAGCACAATAGAATTTGGAAAGTGACTTAATTATCACTTCTTAACAGTCCTTGAAAGTGGTTCTGAGAAGGTCTGAACCTGGAGGAGGGCCCCAGCCAGACAGTATAAAAGAAAACCCCAGCCTATACCCAAGTGTTTTGTCACAATGGTACTTCTCTCTGGTCTGTGACCAGCGTTATCTTACTCTGTAAATCTATCTTTCTCTTCCTCACTTAACTTAGTTTCACGCTTGCCTTGCTTTCGGTGGGTCTGCTCACTCTGGTCACGAGCACACTAACAAAGGAGGACCAGACAACTGTCTCAACCGCGACACTTGGAATTTGCGGAAATATATACACATTAAACCGCTTTGGGAAATAACAACTCTGCCCTACTTACATCACCAGGATATTGCGAAAGAGTAAAAACTCCAGTCTGGCCAGTTCCAGCCGAGTCAAGGCCTGAGCGCTCAAACAGTCCACCCAGAAAAAGTATATCTTCCATTAACTTATCAGAAGGGGAATTGCCTAATCTTTTCAACAGCAGTTTACCCCAGGAATTGAGCCACTCTCAACATCATCTTTAGAAACGTTTCTATGACACAGGGGACCCCACACCGAAGCTCACAGCCAGTTTCTCTGCCAGGGGCCACACAGTGTTAACCAAGGGTTACTTCCCCGTCGGTCCAATCTGTAGGGGACCCCAGCAGCCTAGGACAGCCAAGGCGGGAATCCAAGACAGAACGGGGAGAAGGGGGTGAGGAGATGAGAGCTGGGGAGGAAGTGGGGAGCGCGGGGGTTTCCAGCCAGTGCCAGCTGGGCAAACTGGAAATTAACAAAGCTCCGGAACTGGATCACCTGGGAACACCCACCCCTGCCGGCCCCTGCTCCGCACCCCCACCCGGGGCTAGTTCTCCGACGCGCGGGTCTTTGAGGGGCCTGCGGCGACACTGACGCGAAAACCCCACGTCAGGTCTTGTGGGGGGAGGGGGTGTCAGGACTGGTCTCCTGGGCTGGAGCGCGGGGCACGTACCGTCGTCTTCCACCTTGTGCCTGGACTGTCCTCAGGCTCCCTGTTAGTCTTCGCCACCCGGGACAAAGAAACCGAAAGCAGGGGAGCCGACGTGGCTTCCTGAGAATCACTCTCGTGGCGTGTCCCTGCCCACTCTCCCTCTGCTGGTGTCGGGACTTTTAAAACTATAACCCTACAAAAGTCTAATACTCTACACTCACTGCGATACGGTCGGAGACCCCACTCTGCAGATCCCTCCTCCGAGTTGAAACGTTCTCCGGGTAGACTGCCAGCTCAGTGTTTGCTGCTCAGGGCTTCTGTTAACTGCGTGTGGTTTGGACCCAGCGTTCCAGGTGTTATTATGAACACTACTAGTGTTTACTACCAATGGTGTGGAAAATAAATAGAAAAAGTGAACGGGCTTTTTGTCTTGATCTATCGATTCCTAAATACTTACTGTGTTTTTTAAAAATATATTTATTGAAATACTTTTAAACTTGCAGGAAAGTTGCAAGTATAGTACCAAGACATTGACACCTGCAGGACAGCAAGGAGAGCTTGGCGGACCCCCCAGACTGCGGTAAAAATTATTTAAAGCAGACACCCGTGTAAAACAGCAAATGAAGAGACAGCCAGTCTATGGGGCTGGGGCATAAGTCTGTAGGAGGATCCCTTGAACTGAGGAGTTTGAGAAAGAGCAAGACTTGGTCTCTACTAAAAATAGAAAAATTAGCTGGGAGTTGTGCAGGGTGCCTGTGATCCCAGCTACTTGGGAGGCTGAGGCAGGAGGATCACCTCAGCCCAGGAGACTGAGGTTGCTGTGAGATAGGCTGAGGCCATAGCACTCTAGCCTGGGCAACAGAGAGAGACTCTATCTCAAAAAAAAAAAAAAAAAGCTCCTATGGTATTTGAACCAAACCCACTTCCTTCCTCTTTTCAGCACTGCAAGACACCTCTCCACTCTGAACTGCTGCAACCAATAACCCTGAGGCTTCTTTCCTTCAGAGTCAGAGATTGCAAGATATCAGCATTTCCTGATTTTGCTACCTGATGTCAAGTCTGGATTGGTTGAGAGGTGAACAAATCACTTCTTCCTACCATTACTCCTACCCAATGTTCACCCCCAACCTCGTTTTGTTTTGTTTTGTTTTTGCGGTTTTTGGCCAGGGCTGGGTTTGAACCCGCCACCTCTGGTATATGAAGCTGGCACCCTACT